CCCCAAAACCCCAAAACCCCAAAACCCCAAAACCCCATTAGAAACAAGCTTTGTTGAAAAGTGTTAAAACTCTCTTTGGTTATGCCTATAAGAACTCTTCTTCATTTTATGTATCATCAAAGTGATATAGTTATTGTCACTTTTACATTGTTCTAGGAACTTCTTGTTGTAGAACAGACTTTCTTCCAGCTTCTTCTCTTCCTCTTTATTTGCCATAATTGAGTCAAGGTTAGCATTCTCAGGATTGAGCATGAATTCATCAATAGCTTCTTCTAACTTCCTTGTATCGAAATTAAGTTTTTCAATAGATCTAGAAGCTTGGGTGAGAGCCTTACCTGCGACTTGCTTTGGATTCTAAGGAGTTTTTCCTTATTAAATTCTTGTACTCGCTCTCTATCCTTCTACAGGGGTGAAACTAGAGGTTACCGTTTAGTAGTTGGCGTATTCTGAAACTCAATCTTGACTCTCTTTTCCTGTGGGTTAATGAAACTTGAATTCAGACCTTTTCTAGAGCGGCCTGACCTTGGATACACAGCCTTCCCATCAAGTGGAGACATCATTACTGGAGGTCTTTCATTTATCTGTGAGGTCATTGGAGATTTTAGGAAACCGAACTTATCACAATGGTTTCCTGAAGTAGATACTTCTAAAAATGATTCTCAGTCCTACTCAGATTTTTGTACATATCTTCACGAATTCTGTTGAAAATACTTTGGGTCTGCTTCTGATTGTTCTTGCCAACTTCTCCGAACAAGTTTTGGGAAAACCCATTTTGATTGCGTTTGCTGTTTCGACTAGCTTTTCTTGTCCCTGGGTAGAAATTAGACCTACCAGAAATTCGAGATGACCTGAGAATCTCACGATCACTCTTTTTCATGTCATACTCCTGCTTCTTGTTCATCTATGATGATGTGATAGGGATACCGCGATCTGGAAGACAGACTGTGTATTGGAGGTGAGATCAAGGTCATCATTGCTGTTGCCTCGCTCTTGGAATAAACCTTCAGCTTTCTGTAACTCTTTGATGTTCACGCTGGGACCCTTCTTTTTGCTGTGGTACCGTTTGTTGAACTTTTTGAGACACTCGATCACAGATCTGAATGACTCCCTTGTATGGTTTTCTACTGGCTGGAGGTTTAGCTTTACAAATAATTTGTTTAGGTATTGATCAATAGCCTCTTTATTTTCAATACTGTCGAAATTTAGCCTGACTGTTGATGGCTTTTGTGAATCTGTAGTTTTGCCTTGAAAAGATTTGTGGATATTATCCTGCTCAGATTTAAAATCTCTTCTTGCTGCTCGTCCTAGCAGATTTTTATTTCTATATAGAGAAGTTACAATAAGGTTTGAAAACTCTTGAAAATCTGAAAGATTAAAGCGATCAAATTCATAATTCAAAGGCTATTCTCTCATCTTACCCTCTCTATGCCATAATTTCCGAGCCTGGCTACCATCTCAGCAATGGTTTCTCCTTCCAGTACATCGGATTCTTCGATTCCTGAGAAATAAGCTTTGCCGAAATCAGTCTCAAAAATTGGATCAAACTCCTGATGCATATACTTGCTCATCAGCATTCTTTTCTTAATCTCTAGAGCACTGTTCTTCTCCTGGTTAGAGGACATGTAGAGACACTGCTTTTTAAAAGGCAAGTGGGGATATCTAGGTAAATTCTTAATTCTGCTGCGAATCCTGTTCATCTAGCTCCTTTGAGGACCCATATGAAATAACCGCTAAACTTTGTGACATTCTCTGCCCCCTTCTTTGCTGAAATTTCCTGAATTTAGACAAGAATTCAACATAATTCTTATTGTTCGGACGATGATGAGGGAAATCAGTCAGTAGCTTTGGAGGCAGCTTGGAAGGAATAACCCTCTGTGTTTTGCGGATCGAATTCTGGAACTCCATATACGCCTTCATCTTACCTGTAGAAATGTCTTCTAGAGGGTTTTCTTCCTTTTCGAGGATCATGCTCTTCTGAACAGCTTTCTTTGGAGAAGAAGAAAACAACTTTCCTTGAGCTTTTGTGATATTTGATCTCAATAAATTTTTGTGCTTATTTTCTCCCCTTGAGACTGATTTCGTTGGATCATTTATAAATAAGGCTTTGTTGACTTTGTTCCTATCAGTATGTGCACCTTTTGCTATTTCTATTCCAAGAATTATTGAGGAAAAGTGAAATGAATCTAGTACCACTTAAATACCACTCTGAGTGAAAAAAAATATCCCACTAAACATCTTATTAGGTATTCTAAGCTTTGAATGACAAAATTTTAGGTCAAAAACCATCTTAAAAACTTTCTAATTTTAAAGTTTAATGCTGGTTTTGACTATACATTCCAATAAGCTTACACAGCAGTCATAGGCGATCACAAGAAAGAGTTTAAAAGGAATGAGCTATGTCATATTCTAGACCAAACTTTGGGATCATTCAGGCTTTAATGGCATAATGCTCACAATAAGTTTTTGTACCAGAATTACCAACTGAGAAGCAGATTTCTTCGGAGTTAAAATTTGCTAGAAAGCAAGGATGCCTAATGTTTCGTATCCAAGTAATCTGCACAACTGCTTTTGAATAGAGGGCCAAGGATAATTTAAGAATATAAGAAATTTACTAGATTTCATTGATAGAGATTAAGCACAAGAATACATGAAATATTTAGCATTCTTACTAGACTTTTGGGAGATTGCAGAAGAATCCCTAGCTTGCTTTTGTTCATCCTTGAGCGAGATCCTCTGCATTTGCACAGGTTGAAATTCGAGTAGATCTATATTCCTCTGCTGTATTAATCATCAAGAATTACCTTAATTTTCTTCCTTCTTTGGGCAATTTTTCTTTTCAAGTCATTTTTATTCTGAGGCATTGAGATTTTTGAGATCTTCATAGCCGCCTCAAGGCCATCAGTTTGACCGGCAAGGTCAATTTCTTGTGATATATCTCTATCTTGGTTCCTAGTGCTGCTCTTCTTCGCCTTCAAAGCTTCAGCTTTCCTTTGACCGAAGCATTGAGCATTGACAAGAGGGCTATTTCTCACCTGAGACCTATAAAATTTATTCAAAATGAAAACTTTGCGGCTTGGCAACTTGTTCTAAACTTTAGACCATTGTTTTACATTATGACATCTCTTCACTAGGACACTCTCGTTCTTGTCTCCGCTATTGGTTCCAGAACGGTTGTTAAAGATTTCTGAAGATCGAGGAGAATTGAGTTGCACCTTCTCAACCTCGGAGATAGCTTTGGTGCTGGGGATTCTGACTACCTTCTTTTGGCTCTGATTTCGCTGAGAGAGTTAGAGGAGCATTCTAAAATACCCTTGAGCTTGCATTATCACTTGTCTCTATACAATAAATCTCTCAAAATTACGTTTATGAGTTCCTGATGGTTTCATATTTCAATAAATTTATTTTTCATAGGGGTTTTGGGGTTTTGGGGTTTTGGGGTTTTGGGGTTTTGGGGTTTTGGGG